TGCGTTTTGTCATAGTCAAGTTATAATAGCTGCGACATTTGTGTATAGCTGAAGTGCTATAGTTAGGAGGAATATTTGAGGAAGTTTCTCAAATTCAAAAATTTCATCATTAAACTTCGGTTCAGACTTCTTAATTGGACCAAAAGGTAAGCTTGGACCACCAGACTAGCGTCAAGCACCTTGAATGTTTGAAATTTGACCAGAAATTTAGGAGTCTGAGTGAACTTGGCAACACGCAGACGTAATGACAAATTTTTACATAGAATAGCTACGGGTGATGAAAAGGGGTGCCTTCGTAATAATTTTACGAAATACGCTTAGGCGGCTTAAATAGATTTTCCATTCCAAAGCAACCATGATTTGCGTTGAATGGGACTGAAAAAGTCTTATACACTGGAAATAATGGAGAAACGCAAAAGATGTACAGGAATCTGCATATATTCCGGTTGTTACCGAATAAAAAAGATATGATAGATGTGTCAAAATTATCCTTCTTCGAGACAATATCGGACCCGATATGGCAGTCATTGTAAAAGTCAACTGATAAAAGCTTGAGTGGGAAGTTCTTTGCACCCACCATATTCTTTAAACCTCGTGCCGACTGTTTACCATCTTTTCCAATCAATGGTAAGTGGAATTAGTACCCATGCGTTTGACAGTTCGGAGGGTGCCAAGACTCTGCTAAACGAATTTTTCAACAACACCTAGAAAAGTACTGGTAAAAGAAAAGAACATATGTTAATACAAAGGAGAGGGTACTGGAGAATGAGGGCGAAAACATCATACATTAATTTGTTGTTGATATTCTAGAAAAGCAAGTAATCAACCCAAAAATATTCTTTGCTATGCTATCCGCCTTTCATGACGATCTGACCCTATGCTTCTGCTATTATATAATTTGGTAGTTGTCGAAAGGACCATATGCAATCTTCCATTGATCCGTTATGATTTCTATCTCTGTAACACGTAGTGGAGTCTAAGGAGGCCTTTTGTCCATTTGGCATTGTGCGCAACCTCTAAACAAGAAATAACCCCAAACAGCAACTGTCTCTAACCGGGGGAAAGCGAGAAAAGATGGGAATAAGAAGCAATTTGATGCAATAGATAAGAGAACAGTCAATTGTTTACTTGCTTTCTAGATTTCACTATATAAAAATTGTTGCAAGAATTAATGCCCAAATTTTGTTACTGCTCAAAATATAAATAGAGGTTCAACACGGTTTCACTGTTTTCCGACATTTATCATAAAAAAGATATTTGCACGATTATATTGCAACGATATATTGCACGATTGTGCACGCTGTTTGTAGTTGGTTCCGGCCCAAACATAAGCTTAGTCAATAAGCATTATTAAAAAGTTTCAATAAGAGCATTCCCCACAAACGCGGCCTTCTTATAGCTATACCGGTATAGCAACAACATTTCATAAGCCTAAACATCGGTTCCTGCACATTTTGCCAGATTAGTCTGGCGCAACTGAAGACGCGCGGTATAGGAGAGATCAGTAATAGCATAACTAGTCATACTTGAGTGTCATCATGGTATAGGCCCAGATATCACACGGTATTGCAACAGACAAAGTGACTTTACCTATATTTCGTACTGCTTATAGATTTGATAAACGCTTTAATCGGTTTGGAAATGAGTTGTTTTTTTTTTACCTACCTGGCTAGTAAACAGCCCAACTGCTTGAATAACCGCCCTGAACTTATCGTCAATTTTTTTTACCACAACGCCTTTACCTTTATCATTTCAAGCGCGCGCAATCGTAACGTTCTTCACAAGTCTTCGTTATGGTCTTATTAAAATATATTTGGTAAACATAAGTTGTCGTGTTTCAAGCGACTAAGCAACTAGCAGAAACGAGTAAATGGCCGTTAGGCTAAGTCCACGCGTGCAATACAACTACCTGTTCAACATATGGTACAATGTTATTAAGAAGGTATTAGCTCTAGCTAGGTGGAAGCACTAGCTCACATCTCCTAACTCGAACTTTTCCACAAGTTCGCTAAGAGTTTCATTCTTTTTAATATCAAACCCTCGTATCTCTCTTTGACTCGTTTGAGGATTATCTCATCAAAAATAATCCTGTACTCCACTCGACTATATTCTCAAAATTAAAAAAATACAATATAAGTTACGTACTCGTATTTATTTATCATATACCTTTACTAAGGTGATGTAACTTAACTTCAATGAGGAATCAATCAATCTAGCACAATACTATCGTCGGCCAGATATATAATAAGAATACACCGTGTGTCCGATGAGTATTTTCTAGAGTTCGTTAGCTAGAACAATTTAGCACTACTAAATAGGGCTTGTTTTACCCTTTCTTGAAAAATACGTTTTTATAGTCTCGATTCGGTTATGTTTGTAACGATTTTTGTGTGTTTTGTTTGGAGCAGCCGACTTTCATATTTTATGAAATTCCATGGTGCGAATAAAGCCGATGGTTTACGGCCTGTTTCGAAGTAGCACTAACGACTCTAGGTCGTCTAAGTCTTTTGTTCGTTACCCTAGACTAGTTCTCAGGCCCAAGCTATCTAAAGCACCATCGTTAGACTGCGCTCATTAAACACCAACAGGACCGAATTAGCGTGGTTCTTGCAAACAAGAGTGGAAGTGTGTCTCAATGAAAGCCGCTGGCAACCATTTCGACTATACCGTCGACCCGGTGTTCGGGTATTTGGTAGATTTCTCTCATCTCACAGTTCCTCATCTATTCCGAGCCCCTAGCGACCCCAGATTTGCTTCAAAGGTGTCTGAGTGGAACGACCATGTTATATCGGTGGAAAGGGAATTGCGGAAAGATCCTGAAGGGAGGGCAAACGGCGTGCAGCCTGCCGGTATCGAGGATAACGAATGAGAGAGATAGTAGAGATCGTCCTTTTCTGTGTTTGTGTTATGAGGCCGTAGAGACTAGTTGTCAGAAGGTTGCGAGGCGAGGGCAGATCCGCGCGCAACGCCGTAGCGCTTAGCAACACATCGTCGCACTCGCTGTAGAGAATACGTGGTTTTGGACGGGCCTGAAGAGCTTTGGTGTTTGTCTTTGCCTTACTACTGCACATTGCATCGGTCCTTAAAAGTATCACGACTGAGTTTTTACAGATTTGGTGACATCCGGCATGGAAATATTGTTAGAATCAAAGCTTCAAGTACAGCAAAGTGGAATCGGTAGAGAAATACAAAAACCGTAAATGTGCAGGTTGCATAAATAAACGTAAGGTAGAAGAAATAAAAGTAAGACAGGAAAAGTGTTAATGTGAAGTTATAAAGATCCGGGTTCGACTACAAAAAGAGTTTTCGTTGTGGCCAAAAAAACAGTAGCGGCATGAGTTTTCTCGGAGTAGGTCATTGCTGAAGAGTAGCCGTAAGAGTTATGGTTGTAGCAGTGTTGAGGAATGATGTTCTATAAGACTGCCACATGCTCACAATGACAGATATATGTAATGATCTGATAGTGAGCAGGTTGTTTGGGCATATTTCTAAGTGGGAATATAAATGATACTGGCTATTGAAACGCGGTAAGCAAAAAAAGCATAAACAATGTGACACCTTTATTGTTTAGAAAGGATTGACGACCCGAACTGTAGAAGGACCTGAATCCCTGATAAATCTGAGAAGTATTTGACATCGTTGTAAAAAGGTCTATACTACAACAGGTGTTGGAGAAATGTTGATCGTTCGTAATTCGATGCGAAGCAGGACGAAGGAGACAACAAGATGCCCCCCGCCGACGTGAACAGCGATTCTAAAGACTAGGACCGAACTGGTCGGACACCACAAAAATAGACGACAAACGTCATTTACTACAATGTGTAAGTACACAGTACACAGTTTTCTTTTTTAGTGCAAAGGCACAATGAATAAATAGAATATGTTATTTTTCAATTACGCTGTAGGAACTATAGAGAGGTCCTTCGTTAAATCTCCTAGCACATTGTGCATTTAGCTTCATTGTAGTTAGTTTAATGTATGATTCTACTTATTTTCGAGGACAAAATGTGGCTTATAGAGATTACACTGATCTCCCACAACACACTCAGCCCTGCATGCCACTCTTTTTATAGGCGGTGAGTCAATGGCGATGAACTGTATGGCATCTAAATACAATTAGGGAAAGGCAAAGAGGAGCATGTTTGTTATACAAATGATATATTGAACACACATTGATTTTAATTAAAATAACCACTACGAGTCTGCTTGGGTTTGCCATTGCCATCTGTGAACAGCACAAGGGGCAACGTTAGTGAACATTAAACTGAAGGTACACATAACAGTACGATGCAAAGCTGCTCCGAAGACCTATCCTGAAATATTGAATTTCGTGATAACCAGCGTTGTTTGAGAAGATTCCCATACGATACAGGTAATACAGCGACTTGTCGAAAAGTAGATCTATTTGCACCAACTTGCTCGATTTTGTAAAACGCTAATTATCGAAGAGATTACCTGTCGTTATTGATTCTGGTTTTGATTGTCTCAAAAGTGATGACAAACACGTATGGAAGCACTTATTGAATGTCACTTATAGATTAGAAAACAGTGCCACTGATTTTACGATTCATAAACATAATTTAGAGCCGATACATCGATTGAACTATTCTAGAGCAAATATGACTGAGATAACAAAGGCCGTTCAGTTCCATGAAATGCGATTTTTTGTTAATGTAGTATTAAAACATTGAAAGAAAGAAAGACGTATAAAAATGCCACTGTCATACGCTATAGTTTTTCGACAATCTCTCGCCCAGAAAGAATTTTTCATGTATCTTGTAGCATGACTATCGGCGAAAAAGGGGCCTTTTTTTGGGTTTAAGGATTTTATTGAATTTACTGTGTGTACAGTTGTCGTACTTATTGTATGTAGCTCGGGCTTTATATTGGGCTCATATATAATTGTGATATAATACAGTGCAGTAACAATCCTAGGTGAAATCTTGAAGCTTTTACCCGGGTCGTATTAATATGACATAATCAGCTGTTTCATTCAAAAACCCATTTTCATTCAAAATAGCTTCAGAGCACTTGAAATGATTTTCATACAGCCAAACTACACTAGACCGTGGAAGTGATAATATAAGAAGCTTGGAAGGGCAGTGAACCATCAACAATACGAGTCGTGCTCGGGCCGTTGCCGTAATGCGTTTGTTCAGAGTCTTCTCGAACTGTATCTTCAGGATTCCTCCTAGATTCCTGCTATCTGCATCGAGACTTACAATGGTGCTTTCATCCACAACCCAGTCCATCCAACAGCTGAGAGGTACAAACATTTGTTAACGGAGATTGAAAGAGTATTTTAAAAGCGAGTTACTCACAATTCATAGATGATTACAGTCATAACGACGATTGTGATGACCATTAGTGCTACCGGCTTGAGATATGGCATAGCACACCGACATGTTTGCAGTAGCTTAAATAGTTTTTTAACACTGTGGTCTGGTCTGCAAAATTACCGTAAGTTGCCTTTTCGTAATAGTTGTTCTGTCAAAAATAGCCATTAATAAGCCTACCGATTAGTACTAAAAATCTAGCTCGCGGATTTGTCTGACCCAAATCTGCCACAGTCATAATGGTAATAATAAAAACAGCTGTTATGGGGGATCGAAATGCCAAAAGGGCTAGGATAAGCGCCGAATGTGCGCCAGAGGTAATGCTCCCTCTAAGGCAGGTTGCGAGAGACAGCAAATTTTAACGCAGAATGTAAGGGTTCGCCAGACAAATGCTTCACTTCCAACCAACGTGAGGCAATAGGATTTATGGAGGTACCGCAAATTTAACGACCAGTGAGTGCTATTGCAGCTTCTTTTGGACAGTGATAAAATTAATACCGAGATTGACAACATTCTAGCGCGCTGTGATTCTTATGAGAAATTTATTCACTTATTCGACCTCTGTTTCTGCCTAGAAATGTTTATTAAATCTAGTTAACGGGAGATTCCGAAATATTAAAAATACTTGTATTAAACCAATCTCTCCTATCTCTAGTTGTTCTATCCAGCGACGGCAGATGCCGACACGACATACTGAACGACAGATTTCCTTGCCAGCCTGTAACATCTGGACTTCCACTTAATATTTCGGAACGCACGAAACCTTGAAAGGTTTCCTTAGGACTTTCTTGAAACATGAACTATTATCATTCGTTCTGTTCCCCGTAGAAATCTTATATGATCATCTTAAGCAAAGAGCCTTTCAGTCGTATGTCATCGAATACGTCTTTGACCTAGCGCTCTGCCTTCAGGCTTGGAGGCGGACTCCGGGTCCTCGACGATGTTACCATCTACTGTGTAATTATTTCACACACTTACTACGTATATAATGTCACGCATTGAATGGTAGAGCCCATAGGGCCCGTCTATCAAATTTCCTCGCACCAACATTTTGATTCTATCTATGCGACCCAAATCGCCTTTTTAGAGTGATAGAATCGGGCTACTTGTTAAGTCTGTGAAATGAATTTAGTCAAAGCAACGCAGCATAGGCAACGAACTAAGCCCACGGGTCTGTCTAATGTACAATACTAAGCCTAGATTCGCGAATTCGTCTGAATACAAGGACCTTTTATTAACCACAGACTTAGCTGGTTACTTTAGGATCATATGATGTTAGTCCCAATCCGATACATGCTGACTTTCCTACATGGATAACTTTCCTGCACCTACCGCGCTACGTAATTTCCTCATGGGCTAGCGTACGACGACGATGCTGATCAATGTCCCATGCTACTACAACCGAGGTCCGGTGGTTGTAAAGCTGAGTTTAAAAGTCCGTTATGTTGCATAGACAGCTGCATAGACAGCTGTGTCCTCTCGTTTTCTCAGCTCAGCACTTGTGAGGAAACTCGGGATCGAGGAATCTTGTTCAGGGTAGACAATGCATCAAGCTACTGTGCATGCCGCCTGCGACCCTGCCCGACTGATGAATCTAGAATATAACGTCAAACACCGTTGTCCAGATCGCCTGCCATTACTGAACCTTTACAAGGTCGACAGCATAACCCATGTATATCTAAAGACTGCCTTAAAAATTGGTTAGACATTTGTATTATTGTTTATCCTGACCGGGAACTAACAAGCAAGCACGAAGGAACATATAATGCGCAAGAAGTAAAGTTTGTACGTTTATACGCTGGCCATTTCGAACTCCAGTTCTATTATTTCTTCGACAGTAGGGTTTGTGCAGTACGTTAAAAGATTATTTTAGAGTATCTAATAAGGGTGCTAGAGCATACTACTCGCAGAGTGCCATTATTTCGGAGGGACAAGCAATCAGTGCTGGAACGGGGTGTGATCTTTTAGCCGATGTGTCTTACAGGCACTGCACCAGGACGCCGGTTGGAAGGTATTGGTAAACTACTGAACACTGTAGTCTGCTAGGTTGGGTGTAGTTCGTATCGGATAATCGAGTCGGCTGACAGCAAAACCGGAAGGTGGCAGTCGGACTGTTGAAACATTTCAATGGAAGAAAGAAATCCAAGTGTCGCTAATAGATTAAGTAAGTCAGGACAGTGGAATTAGGGCAATATGATAGCGCAATTCGCACTTAAAAAAGTCAGGAGATTTCGAAGCGGAAGCTGTTCGTTGGCAAACCTTAGTTAGCTATAAGGTATGTTGGCATAATTGTCCCGCGCAGAAATACTGATGAAATAGGAGTTGAGCGCCAGGAACGCATTTTTATGCAACGAGCATAGCTTTAGGAGAACTTACTCCGTGCACACTGCTAGTAAAAACGAATCCTGAAGATCGCAAAAAGCAGTGCCTTTCCGATTTAGACGAAACTGCCTTGCAATCGTTGTAGATATAAAGTATGTATTCAGCCCGGTAACGTAGGACACGATAAATCACTCCTTGAGATTATTCTATATTCCGCCATATTACGAAGGATAATAGGGTTACGCGTCGGCGAGAATGGAGCAGTCTACGGTGGGGTGACATACCACGTCGAGGCAGAGGTATTACAGAATTCGATCCTCGGGCCTATTTTCGGGAACATTACGTTCAACGAGTTTACGCCTACCTTATGCTCTGGACTCTCACTCAATGGAGCACACAGGTGATCTTACGCTGATCATAGCCAGTCGGTCCTCCAGCAATTTCAACCTATTGCGAACGTGATCCTCACGGCACCGGCTTTTACCAAAGACAGTGCTGCTGAATAGGAAAAAGCGCCCGCCGACATCGAACTGGACAGCTATCAGGTCAGGTTATTAAAACAGGTACCTGGGTGTTATTCTTGATCAGGGACTGACTAGGACCCCGCACACCACGTGGCAAGCGAGCCGCCCAGACAGCGCTTCGCGAAGCGAAAGACCTTCGACGTTTGCTCTCTCGAACCATGAGAGCCTCAGGCGGGAGAAGACGCTTTCTGGTGTCCGTAGTAGACAGCATCATGCTATGCGCCATTTCTATAGAGAAATCGATGTGTAGGCTTCGGTACGAAATGCAGCGTTCGATAACTTTGAGCGTCTCGAGAAGAAACTGCACGTGACGTCAAGGTACCCGCTAGCCTATTGGCTTACGGGCTACAGGATTATCAAGGAATACCGCTAACTAATTAGTGAAAGCGTACCTTCTGCCTACGTAAGCTGCGTACAGGAAAAGTAAACAGTACCTAGCATATATTTACGTTCTGCGCGCCGTTTGACAAGGAACAGGGACGTCCGCGGTAAACACTTGGTTCCACCCAAGATCCAATCTGCGCCGAAATGGTAACTGACGATTACTCGTCAGTAATCGTGAAACAATGGCAGCGTTTGTCAAACATATATTACTCTCTACTAATCTATTCTAAACAATTCGTTTCTTTTAGAAAATCGATCCCCTAAAGTAGTCGGATTGATTTTTCCTAGATTTTTAGGGTTTCATCCTGGACAGAACTGCGTGCAAAGTGGAGACAATTCGATGAGCATACATTATAAAAAATTCCTTTTTTTCATACCCATAGAACGTAACGTTAGTTTAGATCACTTGTTTATTTTCTACAATTTTTGCTTACTTTAAATAGTTCTTTGTAAAAATTTTTTATAGATATCTATGAAAAAGTTGTAGAGGCTGAGGTGGGCTTTACTTTAAAGCGAATTTTATCGAATCTTTTTTACTTATAACGTAATAGCCCAGTACTTACACCTAGTTTTATGTAGGGAAGGGTTGTTTTTGATACTAACTGCAAGTTCAGGTCGAACTGAATTAAAATATCATGTGCGTTCGCATCTTACCTCGTCCGTTATTTCGGCGTGAAAATAGTCAAAACTCACTGAAAGGTTCATCTCGTTCTCATGACAGTGCAATGAAAGTGAGTTCTAAATCTTGAATAAGCGTCAATAGAAATCTGGTGGTGGCTGGTATGACTAACATTTTTTGGAACTTTTTTTCTAAGACATCTTGCGGGAAAGTACTATTTAATAACTCTATATTAATCATTAGGTCTCAATTAGCTGAGGAAGAATGCAACATATCTCGCAACAGGTAAAATGAATATTCGGCCAAAAATAGAAATTGGTAATTTTTCGGCTTGCGTGAAACTGGGATGATAATATTTTTGATTATATAGAGGTATTTTTTGGTACCGATCGTAAGCTGCCAATGAACTGAATCGAGATACAATACATGCTCATATGGTTTAATTCGCTGTTTTCGTGTAGAAAATGCCGCCTGAAAATGACATGATGGTCTATGCAAAAGGGGTGCTTTGTAACGCCTTTGTAAACGCATCCCGGCGAGCTGAAACATAATTTTTAGCTATACGTACATTCAATTTTTAAGTAAACATCACTAAGGCCCTTTTGGTCGTATCGGTTTGTTTCCTTAATGATGGTATGAAAATGCGTTTCACCGCGTAAGCCTGTTGCTGAAATGCATCAAAAATCAACATATCACAAGCGGGGCAGGGTGTGCTGAGCCCCCTAGCAAACATATTAGAACGTACTATCTATAGGACACGGGTTCGGTGCAGGGTAGCTACGGAATAACCGCGAATGTGCACTCAACCTATAATTTTCGTTAGCTTAGTTTGAACGAATCAGATTAAATAAATTAGCTGATAACACAACAGGCGGCGGACGAAGACCGCGGGTCCGTCTAGTTTATTACGAACGGTTTGCAACCGTCTATCTACTTGGCCCAAGTAGTAAAAGTCTAAACAGCTATAAACTGATTAGATTGGGCCTCGTCTTGGGAAGAACTGCGTGTAAGATGAATACTTTGTCCTTAAAGTCTAAGTTACCTTTGTCTGTAGAGTACAATGTTAACTTGGGCAAATTGCAAATAACCTTTGTGAATTTATATTGAATAGTTGTCTGTTTTTCAGGTTTTACCAAATGGCTGTAACACTAAATTTTGGAAAACTTTCAATGTTTCGCTTTCTGTTATTTTGCGGTCAATCGGTAAGGCTTATCCGAGTAATTGATAACTGATGAAATCTGATGATGGAAGCTATCTAGAATATATATGGTCCATATTTATCGGTCGGATGAATCCATTATTTAGGCGGTAAGGTATATCGAAATAAGCAAACCGCCTAAATTCCGCCTAAAGATTATAACACTATTCTAATTAGAGGGCGGGCATAATTATAGAAGAACAACAGGGCTGACATAAAAGGTTACTACTACATTCTAACAGGAGAGCGAAATTATTACGGCAAGATAGCCTGTCATCACTGAAACAAGGTAATAGAATGGCTGCATAAAACCAATGGATTATTCATCCTAAGTAAAAAAAACTGAATAGATCAAAGGAATAAGTGAACTACCTGGACAGACTGGTATGAAATAATGGGATCTAACGAGAATTACAACGATATAAAAATTGTAAAGGTAAGAACCCGCAACCGCATCATAGTTTGTTTGGCTAGATATATAGCACGTTCGTCTACGAAACACTGGCATAAGCATTTTTAGCATGGAGGTATATGTAAAAGGGGACTTCTCAGTAGAAGTCGGAAACTCTCTATGAGCTTTTTACATTACAGTCCTACATTTTAGTGATTAGGTCGAAAACGCTGTTTTAAGGATGAAAACATTGTGTTCGATGTAAGGGATTTATTTATGGCAGTAATTAATAGATTGACGTGATGAGCACAAACAACAATTGCGGCAATAATAGTCAATTACTGCTGAAACAGGGTATGGTTCGAACAATTGTACGCCCACAAAATGGTAACGGGTAAATGGGGCGGAATAGTTGCAGTGCCATTGTAGGTATTAGTGTATACTATTACTTGAGCTAGGTTGGATGTAACATTGACGAGTCAAATCGCTCAGGTTAACGGCAAAATAGGCGCGGAACGGAACTCACAAGTTCGCCTAGTCAATGATTAGTGAATAGGAATCAGTTTCCGTTCGGTTGCTTGCCTATAGCTACAAGCCTACCAGAGCCCTTCCGATAGTGAGTAGAATACAAAGAATGTATTTTGTTGCTTTTCATCAATACGAGGCTAGCAATAGCATTGTGGAGTGACTTAATTGAACCGATATGAAGTTATTTTTAAGTACCCATGCCTGTACCTTTCAAATTAACATGTGGGGTAAGGCGATACAAGGCAAGAGGAGAAGGGGCTAACCTGACCGACAAGCGTGATCCTTGATAGCTTGTCTGTTTGCTTGCCGGCGGGCATATATAGATAGGGCATAAATACCGAAGTGATTTACAGTGTTTCATGATTACGACTCTAGGCCGCTATATCGCCACCAGTAACCCAGTAAATATAATATTATATGTACGACTAGAAGCTTACAGCGAGATATTACTCCTGAAGGCTATTCTGAAGGTACACAGAGAGCGTATTATCACATCTAATGTTGGTATTGTAAGCAGTCGACTGCTCTTCTTCGCTAGGTATACTTTCACTAATGCGAACTTGACGTTGTCTGAACATTTTCGCACTAAGTAAGTGACGCTTATCGGCTACATTTACCGGATTCTGGTTGAAAAAACAAATTAAAGTACAAACTTGGGTGCTTCACACCCATTTGTAACTATATTTATATAGAAATGTAAACAAACACCTTGAAAAACGGCAATGGTAGCGCGTTTTTAAAAATAATTTGTCCTATAATAGAACGCGTGTTTCGAAACCAGAGCAAATACAGTTTTACTCTATGACTCATGTGAAAATCGGAACGCACGCGAACAAAAATAGGAAGAACCTTTATACGGTGTAGTATGCATACGCGCGTACTCTATGTAGGACAGAGAAAGAGGTACACAACTGGCATAACTTATAATGACCGATCAAATATTACACACGGTTTTCTTCTTTGCGTAAGAGAATAAGTATATTGAATGCGAAGAGCAAAATCAGCTGTATTCAAAGGGTAGTTCCCCAACATTAGCCGACTTCAAGTCAGGATCTTCCGTCGCTTAGTGATCGAAGTTCGTTATCGTAATCCATACCAACGCGGAGAAAGAACGCATTTATTATATGTCACAATTCAAACAACTCGTTTTTAGCTTGTCCCTTACGTATCTGCTTTTTAAGAGCGTAGGATGCATGCATTGATGAAGCCATATATTTTGGTGGTTTATATCATCTTTGACCGATCGATCGATCAATTACCGTAATGGCTGAACTTGCTAGGCGATCTTCTCGATATATTCTAATTTTCAAATACTATTGCTATTGCGACAAATAACAAAAAAAGGATTGAAAGAAATTATATGTGCCTTGCATACTTAAGGTTGTCTATAAAAGGGACATAGGCTTGCGGGGATTATGCTAAGCTGTCACAAGAAGTCAAAGGACTTTGAAATTGAATGACTGAACCACATGTCGTTAGTAACTAAATTTGACGGTAGTAACTAAATTTGACCGGTAAATATTCCAATTTTCTAAAAACTGTTGAGTAAACACTGATTGAATTTATTTGTAGTAAAATTAATTCAAAAGGAGAACATCCTTTAGTTTCGAAATGATTGCTTGGTGGTCAACTTTTTGTTCTTCGAAGGCCACAGCGCGGTGAGAATTTTTCGAAGACTGGTAAAAACACTACGTAAGGAGCATTCAACCGACAGCACAGTACGTGAATGGTACAAATGCTTCAAGGACGAAGATTAGAGTGTTGAAGGTCAGCCGGGTGACCAGATGTCGAGACCCAACGGACAAGAACGCACCGTTGCAACCTGCAAAGGTTTTTCGCGGAAACGGAGTGTGGGGTGTAAACGATCTGTCGGCCAAAACTAGCATTTCACATGTAACGTGTTACAAAATTATAGTCCAAATGCTAAAAATGGGTTCCTCGTAAAATGATTCTGGAAATGCGTGTGATGTAACCCACGAGAAACTTGCAAGACTCTAGTTCATAAAAAAAAACTTCCTATGGAGAATATGGTTGTCATAGACGAGGCATGGTTCAGTTACTGCTGCCAGCTGAAGAGGCACCAGGCAAGAGAATGGCATCGCTTAGTGGTAGCGGACGTAAAGTGATGTAGGTATTCGCATTGAACATCAGGGGCATTTAGTGCTTTGAGATTTCTGAATGAGACGGTGATGGGCAGTATGCTTACTATTTAGAATTTCTTAAGAGATTTACGGTTTGTTGACATGGTTATTTGGTAACAATGCCATGCCTCATCGCTGTGCTTCAACTATATGCCGGATTGGAGAGAAAGATATTGGCTTTATCCTGCTTATCTTTTTGATCTAAGTCCGCATAATTATGGGGCTTTTCATGCTTTAGAAGGGAAACTGGTGGTCAAGCACATATCTCTATAGATTTACCTTGAAAAAATATGA